TTGAAGGAGGAAAAAAATCCAGTTATACTCACCTAATACAAAGCATCAGAACACTTTACTGTTGTTAATAAACTAAACATGGTTGGAAATGCTTTGCATTTAAAACTAAATTTCAAGGTATTTTATTAACAGTTTTAACCTCAGAGACCCACCCACTCAAGCTTGCTGTCTATGTTTCCTGTTGAGTGTGGAAACTTCAGAGAAAAGAATACCACACTTCATCAGTGTTTGCAATGTGGTAAATTTATTTTCTGACCTTGGCACCTTATTTTTCTGTTGCATGGGAACATTCTTTTGCTTTCTTCTTAGATGTTACATGATAACTGAAAAAGTTTGAAAGCAATTCAAAGAGTTGATATATCAGAAAAATAAGTTAACATTTATTATTGCTGAAAAAAACAACCTTACATAAAAAGTTTAAGGAGAAATCTTTTCTAACAATTTATACTGCCAACTAACATTCCAAGGAGTGGACAAGAATTCTAGAATTCTCTAATACTCGAACAGAATAATTGAATAATTGCTAAAACCATTAGGGTATTTTGATAGCTATGCATCAGATCATCACAATCCCAGAAAAGCTTGGCCTTTCAGAGCTAGTAGGATCATTGAAACAGTACTATTAAGACCTTGTCCTAGATGATGACTTATTATTTCAAAGTGGATTCACACAATTCCAGCACAACAAAAGAAAAAGGAAGTTATCTGGGGCCCATCATATCGGAATTTTATCTCTACTACTCACTGAATAATGCATATTTGTCTTATAAGATAACCTGTTAAACAATTTCACAATTTAATAATGCATATATAAAGAAGAAGAACTATCTGACTGGTGACTATCATACTAAGTGAAGTAAGTCAGACAGAGAAAGACAAATATCATATGATACCACTTATATGTGGAATCTTAAAAAAAAAAAAACGATATAAATAAACTTATTTACAAAACAGAAACAAACTCACAGACTTAGAAAATGAGCTTATGGTTACCAGGCAGAGAAAAGTCAGGGAGGAGGGATAGACTGGGGCTTGGGATTCCCATGTACACACTGCTATATTTTAAATAGATAACCAGGGACTTCCCTGGTCGTCCAGTGGCTAAGACTCCACGCTCCCAATGCAGGGGGCCTGGGTTCGATCCCTGGTCAGGGAACTAGATCCCATATAACGCAACTAAGAGCTCACATGCCATAACTAAGACCCGGCACAGCCAAATAAATAAAGATAGATAGGTAACCAACAAGGGCCTACTGCATAGCACAGGGAGTTCTGTTCAATATTCTGTAATAGCAGAAATGGAAAAAGAATTTGAAAATGAATAGATACTTGTATATGTGCAACTGAATCACTTTGCTGTACACCTGAAACTAACGCAACACTGTTAATCAACTACACTCCAATATAAAATAAAATTTCTAAAAAAATTTTTAAAGATTAAATTTAAAACATAAATAAATAATAAAATAAAATAAAATGCATTGGGAACTGCTCTGCAACAAAAAATGAACTAGTAAGATGCAGGAGTAACTATCTGTATATCTCTCAAAATCTGATATGCTCAAAATATTAAAGCATTTACACATATAAAGGAAGTCATTTGCATGTGATTTTAAGAGTAATATATAAACCCACCTATGATTTGGTATCATATTAGGGTATCATATTACAGTAGAACTAGTTATGAAATCATGTTCAGTATTTTTACAAATATCAAGCAAGACAAAAAGTTAAGCTTCTTGTTAGGAAAAGAATAAAAAAGTGCAAGTATTTTGTTATGGTGCTGTTTTAACAGAAGAATCAGAAAAATATTTACTTTGATTTTAACAATTCTGAAAGGAGTGTTGCAAAAAAGTTTTAGTACTAAGAACTAGAATAAATATGTACATTTTAAGTTAAAACAAAGTTGATAGGAAGTAAACTATTCCTTTCTCAAGAGCAATTTCAAGGAAAATGGTTTCAAATTAACATTTTACTGTACATTTTACCTTTGTACAGGTCCTTAGTACTTTCTAACTGGCAACAAGAGTATCTATGACTGTGGAAAGGAGGAACTTAGGTAATTTTCAGTAGCTGTATCTATTGGGGCAGACATCTGTGTTTTTACTTTCTTTCTTTCTCCCTTCTGAAATAACCAAGCCACTAATATGACACCAAGATTTATATTTAATAGAGAAATTGACAATATTTCCCTCAATAAATCTAAAAATAAAGCCAAAATAAATCAATTTCAAAACTTTTTTGAACAAATGCTGAATTACATCATTCAAATTCAAGTTAAACTTATCACAGCAGAATGCTATATGCCCTGACCAGCGAAATCTTTCCTACATCAAGGCATTTTTCATTGACAATTTTCCAATTGGAGAGATCATTCATAGACAAATCAGGATGAGGGTATAAGCCAGGAATGAAGGGGAAAAAAAAAAAAAAACCAGTAAATTTTATTATTCAAACACATAAAAAATCATGTTCTAATGATTTTTTTGTTTCAAATGTCCTTACTCCAAGGAACTTGTACTATTATTTGTTTTTTATTTTTACAAGCACAGCCTCAGCCTCAGAAATGACTCTGACTGTGCACGCGGACCAGTGGCAGGACAAAGGGAAGGATCTTGAAATTAAATCTACAGCTCAGGATAAAAGGACTTAAGTGTCTAAGATTTACTGACATGAACGACTGCAGATTTTTCAACATCGAAGAAAATTCCTATGATATGTTAAGTGATAAAAACAAGCAAGAAAAAGTATGAAACAATTTTTAAAACAAATAAAATATAGACATACATATTAATATCTCTGTGAGTACATACATGGCAAAATCTTGAATAGTAAATACAAAACAATTTTAAATGATTGTGTTGGGGGGGGGGGTCACGATTTTTATTTTTATTTATTTATTTATTTTTTGCAGTACGCGGGCCTCTCACTGTTGTGGCCTCTCCCGTTGCAGAGCACAGGCTCCAGACGCACAGGCTCTGCGGCCATGGCTCTAGGGCCCAGCCGCTCCGCGGCATGTGGGATCTTCCCGGACCGGGGCACGAACCCGTGGCCCCTGCATCGGCAGGCGGATTCTCAACCACTGCGCCACCAGGGAAGCCCTACGATTTTTCTTTATGTTATTTGGCATTGTTGGAGCTTTAAAAAGAAAATGAGCCATCACTTGTGGAGTAGAGAAAGCAATAAAGCAGTTTCTGCTTTCAGAGGAAAGAAAAAAACAGCAGCTTTTTACCCTAGAAACACAAAGCAGGAGGTCTTTCGGACAAAGACTAAGAGCAAAATTAAAGTCAAAAGCAAAATTCTCCACTTCTCGTTTATTAAAACTCTCAGGCCTCCACTGGCAGCAGACTCGAAGCTCATGACCTCTTTAAGGGCTCACCCTCTGTAGGCTATTTTCACTGAAAATACACTGCTTCATTTAAAAAACATCTACCATACCCCACTCATTAGAGAACTGTGGCTACTGTGGTGAATTAAGACAGACAAACTCCCGTCCTCCTAGAGCTGACATCCTACCTAGTGCTGGAGAGAGACAATAAACGGGATCATCTTTCACATCTGAGACAGGGAAGGAGTCAAGCGTCTGACGCAGAACAGCAAAAACTACCGCACAGAGGTTAAAAGTGTGGGTAAGAACCTGGAATGCCTGGTTAGAATCCTGCTGCATCCCTCACTCTCCGTACAATCTCAGGTAAATTATTCAAACTCGCTCAGTTTTCTCATCTGTAATGAATTTATGACCTCACTGAGTTTGGGGGTTGTGAGTTAATATACAAAAACTGCCTGGCACAGGTAAGTACAAAATAAGCATTAGCCATTATGAGATTAACTGGTCACCCTCTTCCACTCACATCCCCACAGAGTGATTCTATCCCAGCAGCCAGGCTAATCTCCCACCCTCCCCCATCTTTTTATTTTGGAACATTTCAAATATAAACAGAAGTAGAAAGAAGAGTTTGATAAACCCTGTGTAGGCCCCAGGTTCAACAGCATCATCATGAGAATCCTGTTTCACCTCACCCCCCAACTGTTCTGAAGCAAATCCCAGAAACCATACGACACTTGTAGATACTTCAGTTTATCAGTCTAAAGCACAAGAACTCTACCACATTTTTAAAATGCAAGTCAGTTTATATCCCTCCCATGCCCCCAGTCCCCCTGGCCTCCACTTACAATCCTAAGCCCTCACCGTTCCCAGCACAGGGCCACACAGACTCCGGCCGCTGCCCGCCTGTCTAGCCATCTCCTGGACCACTGCCGTGCGCACCCTGCCCACTACTGGCTCCGGCCCAGGGCCTTCCCTGCCTCAGCCCTCACTATATTAGGCGCCTGCTCCACCAATCAGAGTGCAGGCTCCATGAGACTAAGAGGGGTTATCTTGTTCTTCACTGTGTTCCCAAGGCCCGAAACAATGCTCGGCACAGTAGGTCTTCAGTAAAGATCAGCTGCCACCAATCTGGTAACTCTCTCTCGTCAGAGCTCTCGGCTGAGTTTTCAATCATCTATTGGACAATCTGGTTAGATCGTTGCTCAGGCATCTCAAACTAGACCTGTGCCAATTTAACGTCTTCTATTACAAATCTGTTCTCTCCTGTAGCCCCTGTCCATTTTATGTCACTCCAAGCTGACAAGTCTCTCCAGACACTCCTGTCTCTCACACACCTCCACCAACGGGTCAACAGCTTGTGCCTGTTCCACCCGCAAAATAAGTTCCTCAGATTTGTTCCCTATTAACCACTTCACTGTCAATGTTTTAGTTCAGCCCTTTGTTATTTTCATTTGGATTACTGCAATAACCTAACCAGTCTCTGGGTACCTAGCCTTTACTTCTAATTCATTCTCTATCCTTGCTTATAAAACTATTTTCTAAACCATAAATCTGATCATGTCATCTCACTTGTTGAAAAGCAAACTGGTTTTTAACAGATCTTAAAAAATGAAGATAACCAAATAGCACCCAAATAAAAAGCAACTTATTTCTTAACAATATGATTTAAAGAAAGAAGAAATGGGCTGGATAATATATGAGATGAGTCACTATGTTTCTCAAAAATGTTAACAAAAGGGAAACAAGCCTTTCCACAAAATGTTATATTAATAATATAATACTTGATTCTGCCTAGTCAGGGTTACAATCCTTGGTCCACTAAAAAAACTGAGTAAACTAGACAAACTATTTCATTATTCGCTCAACATAATTTATCATTTAATTAAAGAAGGAATCGTGATAATTCTGTAATCGTATTTGGAAAAAGAGTTTTTAGCAATTTTAACCTTGCTTTAAAAAAAATTCAGACACTGAATTAGAAGTGGCTTACCTTACAAACACCCTGTCTTTATTTGCCTTTTCTTTGCCATATTGAACTGACTGGACTTCAGTTCTCCCACTGAAATAGATAAATATGTACAATAAGAAAACCTTAAAGAGAACTACAAGATAAAATGACAACACACAGCATGACTATACTACAATTACATGAGACAAGATATTTCTAGCAGAGAAAAGGGAGCAGAGGGTAAGAAGGAAAGAATGGACTATATTCCGCTTCTACCTGGATGGATGAAGCTTAATTACAGTTCTTCCATTAATGAACAAGGATGTGTTCCAAAGACACTTCGTTTTCAGATACTCCTTTGTTTGGGCGTGAGTACGAAAGAAGTAATTCTGTCTGAGAGGAATTCCTCCTCTGCTATGCCCTGGAAAGGCACTCCCTCTAGACTCAGAAACAGGTTGCTCTGTCCCAGCTCATCTAAGCCCTGCCCTCCTGCCACGTCTGTGGTTTGGCTAGTGTCTTTACTACTCCTTCAACAAGGGCCTGCCACATGGGGGGAGATCTCGAAGAACTGCTCTTTCCTCGGGCAAGCTTTTCCTCCTCACCTACTGAAAACAATCACAGACACATCCTCAAATCCCTCCACGTCCAGATACAGGCAACTCCGGATATTTTTATATTAGAAGGAATGAAGGTCAGAATATGGTTAAGAGTTGGGCATCACAGGGGGTTATCTTGAAGCTGATTTGTCTCCCAAGCACACCGTTTATGCCTGGGAACTGAGCTTCCTCTGTGGTACTCCAATGTGTTGAGAGCAAATTTGTAAATAAAAACTTGGTTCTCAGAGAATCTGTTACTTGACACATCACATTATTTGAGTGAATGAACACAAATGTTTAGAATATCAAATATAACCATTTACATAGATAGAAATTTAATATATATAAAAGCAGCCAAATATAGGTTTCCAAAGCTAATAAGCAAGCAATTTTAAGATCATCTTCTATGGACAAGTATAGATAAATGTGAATAGAATGGCACATCTGTTCAAGTTTTAATGGAAAAGTCAGAAACATTGTCACGATTTTAAAATTTAGATAAGTTGATGTTTCTTAATATATTTCCTCTAAGAAGGATGAGCTATACTTGCAATTGTGAACAAGGTAACAGATTTAGGTTCACCACTGCTTTGTACTTCCATATTAGAACAAGGACTGTAATCCCCTGGACATTTTGGAACAGAGATAACAAGGGGGGGGGGGGGTGAGGAGGCTGGTAAAGGAAGTATTAAATCCCCTGATATTCAAAATTCCATCTCTCAGTCTTCGTGAGAGATGACAAGAGTGCTAGTATTCCCAACCATTGCTGATAATGAGGGGGAAAAGCATTTATCTAATGTGTATCCATTAGGGATAGGACTGTATCCAGATAAACATGTCATGCTGCCATTCCTACATCGCTCACAAGATTATTAATCATTTTGGTGATTAAAAAGTATTCTGGATACGTTTTTGAAGTTCTTAAGGACTATAAACAGAAAGCCTAGCTTTCACAACTACAGACATCTACGGCTTGCTTATACACATGAATTTAACTTCACGTTAGCCGAGCTGCCCAGGCCTCAGTCCTGTCCTGCTCTGTCTGCTACACCCCGCATCTGGGAGGCTCCCCTGCAAGCTGGCTTTCTGTCAGTTCTGCCTTTTTTCTGGTGGGAGACCAGAAAGCGGAGCAAGTCAGAAGCAGGTGACCGTCAGATGCTGGCAGCCGCTGTTAACAGCAGCAGGGACAGGGCACAGAAAGAAACAGAACCCCGCAGATGATGCCACCCCTGATCAAAGCAGCACCGCCCTGGAGATCCAGAATCGAAGGCAGCAGCTCACCCGTGCGGCAGCAGGTCTCAGCTTGTGGGCCCCAGCCCAGAGTGACACAAGCTTCTGACCCTCAGGCATTACCCATTCTTCCTGCTGCTTCTCCAAACCCCCTCCCTTTTGTTTTCCCAGCCTTTCTAACACCTGTGTTAGAAACTGCCTCAATTAAATTGCTTTTATTTGAAAAATCAAAAGAGCTTCCTGTTTCCCAGACTGATAGAGTCATTTTCCAGGAAAGAGGATTCAAATGGGACATTATTACGCAAAAGGCTGAATTAACAAGTTGAATTTCATAATAAAAATATAAAGATTAAATTCAAATATGAGGGGGAAATGAAGTGTTTATATGTCATATTATCCATATTATTCTATAGGGTTTAGTATAATTAGAACAAAATGTAAAACTGTAACATAATCTAAGAACACTAAATTCTGACAGCAAGATACTTATCTTAAGAACAGTGAGAATACACCAACTGGTAAAAGCATGCAGGCTTCTTGTAAGTAATTCAAGCAATATCGAAAAGCATAACAAAAAAAGTAAACAGATTTAGCCACAGCCATACCCCTAAGAAATAATCTCCATTATGAGCAGGCAAAAATCATTCTGAGACTCTCTACATACAGAGAAAAGGCTACAAATATGGATATAATTCTATTATAATGTGATTATGCTATATATGCCACAATGAAAATATTAAATGGATTTCTCTTGAATTAAAGGAAAGAAAAAGGCTACCATTCATTTACAGAAGAAGGAGGAGGAGAATAAAAAGGTCAGGGAAAACCGTAAAAGCTTAGTGTATTAATATTTAATTTTTGTTAATATGGATTCACATAGTTCACTAGTCCCTGCTTCCTCTTGCTTTCTTATATTATTACTTTTACTTTGCCCAAGTTTATAACATTTTAATACTATTCTGTAGTTATAATTCTCATAGTTGTCAAGGATTCGTTCCATATTTAAAGAATTTAATCTTTATTCTGACTTCTTTCACCAAGATTCTTCTTGAGTCATTTTGAATTCTCTCTTAGACGGCTTAACTTTACCATTAAATTTTTTTTTTTCAAAATAGGCTCAGAGATGTTATATTCCCTGAGGTTTTGTATATCTGATACTGTCTAGCTACTGACTCTAGACTTGAACGGGAACCTGGTTTAGTATTTTTCGGTCACTTGTTTCCTTTAAGACTTGACAGACAAAGGGTGGCCCATAAGCTACATACAAACCTGAAGAAAGGTTTTCTTTAGCATTCACAGTGTTTAAAAATATTTAATCCCAAATATTTAATGTAACAAGACTGATAAGGGAAAATGAGAGAAGACACAAATTACCAACATCAAGAATGAGAGAAATGACCTTACTAGATTCTAGAGATACTTGAAAATATAATAGGGTAATATTACAACCTTTTTGCCAAAATATTCAAGAACTTAGACAAAATGGATAAATTCCTTGAAAACCATGATCAAAGTCCACCCAGGAAGAAAGAGAAAACCTGAACTGCTTCATTGGTATTAAAGAATCTGAATGTGCTGTTCAAAAGCCTCCTATAAATAACGCTTCTGCCTTAGAAAGAACAAAACCGGAGAATTCTATCAAACATTTTAAAAGGAAATAATATTACTACACAAACTCTTCTAGAAAACTGAAAATGAGGAAATACTTCCCAACTCATTCAATGAGGCCAAAATGATCCTGACATCAAACCTGATAATGACATTACAAAAGAAAACTAAAGAGAAATATCCTTCACAAACATAAATGCAAAAATTCTAAACAAAATAAGCAAATTAAACAAAATAATATATAAAAAGGATAACAGATCATAACCAAGTGGGGTTTCTCTCAGGAATGTACGGTTGCTTTACCATTTGAAAGTCAATCAATATAATTAATCAAATAAACAACTAAAAAGAAAACTCATATGATCACTGTGATAGCTGCAGGAAAAGCACTTGACAAAAACCAATAACCAGTCCTAATAAAAACTTCCCACAAATGCGAAACAGAGGAACTGTCTCAACATGCATGATATAGGGCATGTGTGAAAGCTCACAACCAACATCACACTTAATAGTGAAATACTGAGTGCCTTCCCCTTAGATAAGGAACAAGACAAGGATATCTGCTCTCACCGTTTCTACTCAACACTATACTGGCGATTCTAGCTGGGGCAACAAGTTAAGGAAAAAGGAATAAAAAGGATCAGAATAGAAAGGAAAAATTAAACTGTTTTTGGCCTCTAGGAAGAAAATCTTTCAGCAACTATAAAAAAATCTCCTAAAATAAATGAGGTAAAAGCGAAGTTTAACAAAACAAGATCAACATAAAAAAATCAATTGCGGGCTTCCCTGGCGGCGCAGTGGTTGAGAGTCCACCTGCCGATGCAGGGGACACGGGTTCATACCCCGGTCCGGGAAGATCCCACATGCCGTGGAGCAGCTGGGCCCGTGAGCCATGGCCGCTGAGCCTGCACGTCCGGAGCCTGTACTCCGCAACGGGAGAGGCCACAACAGTGAGAGGCCCACCGCAAAAAAAAAAAAGAAAAAAAAAAAATCAATTGCATTTCTAATTAACTGTGATGAACAATCTGAAATTAAAATATAATAAGACAATTTAGAATAGCATCAAAAACATGAAATAATTAAGGATACATTTGGAAAAGATGTGAAAGAGGTGTATGCTGAAAACTACAAACATTGTTGAGAGAAATAACATTTAAGTAAATAAAAAGATATACCATGTTTCATGAGTCAGAAAACTCAATTTTTTTTTATTGGAGTATAATTGCTTTACAATGTTGTGTTAGTTTCTGCTGTACAATGAAGTGAATCAACTATGTGTATACACATATCCCCTCCCTCTTGGACCTCCCTCCCACCCCACCCCACATCCTGCCCATGTAGCTCGTCACTGAGCACTGAGCTGAGCCCCCTGTGCTATACAGCAGGTTCCCACTAGCTAGCTATTTTACGCATGGCAGTGTATATATGTCTAACCTAATCTCCCAATTCATCCCACCCTCCCCTTCCCCCGTGTCCACACGTCGGTTCTCTATTTCTACATCTCTATTCCTGTTCTGAAAACAGGTTCATCTGTTACCATTTTTCTATATTCCACACGTATGCGTTAATATACAATATTTGTTTTTCTCTCTCTGGCTTACTTCACTCTGTATGACAGACTCTAGGTCCATCCACATCTCTACAAATGACCCAATTTCCTTCCTTTTTATGGCTAATATTCCATTGCATATATGTATCACATCTTCCTTATCCATTCATCTGTCATTGGACATTTAGGTTGTTTCCATGTCCTGGCTATAGTAAATAGTGCTGCAATGAACACTGGGGTACATGTATCTTTTTGAATTTTGGTTTTCTCAGGCTATATGCCCAGGAGTGGGATTGCTGAGTCATATGGTAGCTCTATTTTTAGTTTTTTTTTTTAAATAAGTACATCCATACATTTTTTGAAGATATGATTTTTTATTTTTATTTTATTTATTTTTGGCTGCACTGGGTCTTCGTTGCTGCACATGATGGGTTTTCTCTAGTGGCAGCGAGCAGGGGCTACTCTTCATGCGGTGCACGGGTTTCTCATTGAGCTGGCCTCTCTTGTTGCAGAGCACGGGCTCTAGGCACAAGGGCTTCAGTAGCTGTGGCTCGCGGGCTCTAGAGCACAGGTTCAGTAGTTGTGGTGTACGGGCTTAGCTGCTCTGTGGCACGTGGGATCTTCCCGGACCAGGGATTGAACCTGTGCCCCCTGCATTGGCAGGCAATTCTTAACCACTGTGCTACCAGGGGAGTCCCAATTTTTAGTTTTTTAAGGAACCTCCATACTGTTCTCCACAGTGGCTATATCAATTCACATTCCCACCAACAGTTCAAGAGGGTTCCCTTTTCTCCACACCTTCTCCAGCATTTCTTGTTTGTAGATTTTTTGATGATGGCCATTCTGCCCAGCATGAGGTGATACCTCGTTGTAGTTTTGATTTGCATTTCTCTAATAATTAGTGATGTTGAGCATCTTTTCATGTGCCTCCTGGCCATCTGTATGTCTTCTTTGGTAAAATACCTGTTTATGTCTTCCGCCCATTTTTTGATTCAGTTGTTTTTTTGATATTGCACTCCATGAGCTGTTTGTATATTTTGGAGATTAATCCTTTGTCTGTTGCTTCGTTTGCAAATATTTTCTCCCATTCTGAGGGTTGTCTTTTTGTCTTGTTTATGGTTTCCTTTGCTGTGTGAAAGCTTTTAAGTTTAATTAGATCCCATTTGTTTATTTTTGTTTTTATTTTCATTACTCTAGGAGGTGGGTCAGAGAAGATCTTGCTGTGGTTTATGTCAAAGAGCGTTTTTCCTATGTTTTAGCTCCGTTTTTCTTTCTCAAGATTGCTCTGGCTATTTGGGGTCTTTTGTGTTTCCATACAAAGCATAACATTCTTGGTTCTAATTCTGTGAAGAATGCCATTGGTAATTTGATAGGGATTGCACTGAATCTGTAGATTGCTTTGGGTAGTAGAGTCATTTTCACAATGTTGACTCTTCCAATCCAAGAACATGGTACATTTCTCCATCTGTTTATGTCATCTTTGATTTCTTTCATCAGTGTCTTATATAGTTTTCTGCATACAGGTCTTTCGTCTCCCTAAGTAGGTTTATTCCTAGGCATTTTACTCTTTTTGTTGCGAAGGTAAATAGGGTTGTTTCCTTAATTTCTGTTTCTGATCTTTCATTGTCAGTGTATAGGAATGCAAGAGATTTCTGTGCATTAATTTTGTATCCTGCAACCCTACCAAATTCACTGCTTAGCTCTAGTAGAGAAAACTCAGTATTTTTAAGATGCCAATTCTCCTGAAACTGATCTATAGTTTCAGCGCAATTCCAGTTAGAATCCCAGAAGTCTTTCTTGTAGAAACTGATCAGCTAATTCTAAAATTCAGATGAAACTGCAATGGGCCTAGAACATTCAAAACAACGTCTAAAAAGAACAAAGTTGGAAGACTAATACTACTGGACTTAAGACTTACTATTAAAAAGTCCAGAAATAATTCCACCCAAATGTGGACCACTGATTTCTAACAAAGGTGTAAAGGCAATGCTGTGGAGAAAGAGTAATCTTTTCAACAAAAAATGCTAGAACAACTGGATATCCATATGTAAAAAGACAAATGTCAATCCATACTTCACACCATATGCAAAAATTACTTTCAAATCGATCATAGACCTAAATGTAAGGGTTAAAACTGTAAAACTCTTAGAAGAAAACAGGAATAAATCTTTGTGACCTTGGGTTAGGCAAAGATTCCTTAGATATGACACCAAAAGAAAGATCCAAGAAAGAAAAAAACTGGTAAATTGAACTTATCAAAATTACGTGCTCTTCAGAAAACTAGTCAAGTGAAAAGATACCAGGAGGCAGTGGTAAGAATCTGGTGGAATGAGAACTCTCATACACTGATGGTGGGCATGTAAAAAGATAACACGTGCTTTGGAAAAACGACCAGCAGATTCTTGCAAACTTAAACATACATCTACCATAAGATCCGGCAATTCCACTCCTAGGTATTTAACCAAGGGAACTTAAGCAAATGTCCATACAAACCCTTCCACATCAATGTTCACAGCAGCTTTATTTGTAATAGCCCAAGTCCGCAAGCAAGCCAAACAGAGAAACAACCCACTTGATATCCATAATTCAGTGAATGGATAAACAAAATGTGTTATATCTACACAATGGAATACTACCCTACAATAAAAAGAAATGAACCATCAATCCAGGCAACAACAAAATATATGTTTCAATTTATATAAAACCCTAGAAAATGCAAACCAATTTATAGAAACAGAAAGCGGACCAGCGGATACATGGGGACAAAGAGAGGTGAGAGAAAAGGGGTTTCAGAGGGGTAAGAGGAAAATTCCGGGGTGGATATGCTTGCTATCTTAATTGTGGTGATGGGTTCATGGATGTATATACATCCCCAAACATGACATTTTAAACTTTAAATAAGGTAAATTATTCTGTCAATTATACCTTAATAAAACTGTTTTAAAAATGTAAAATCTGCCAGTACTAGGTCCATATTCCCCCAAGGGCAATAACAGCCTGAACAGCAAGTGTTGCTGCCCTCAACCAGTATTTTCTTTTTTAATTAGATAGTTCTTGAGCTTTTTTTTTTAAAAGAATTATTTAATTTACTGTTTAGTGCTTCAACTTCCATGATGAGAAATTTCCCTTCTTTTTTGTTTTGTTCTGGGTTTTTTTGGCTGCAACATGCGGCATGAAGGACCCTAGTTCCCTGACCAGGGATCAAACCCATGCCCCCCGCAGTGGAAGTGCAGAGCCTTAACCACTGGACCGCTGGGCAAGTCCCTTGAGCTAGTTTCTTTTTGTTAATATCTAGGTAGAAATTTCATCCTGTTTCAGGGATGATTTTCTCCCAAACAGGTTTCTTTAAATGTCTTTGGTATCTGTAGTCATCGTGACTAGATTTTGTTTTCTGTGGTATAGTTTGGGGAAATTACTTGATTTTTTTTTTTTCATCTGAGACTGGTTTAAATTATGGTTAAAGGCTGGTTACTACATTCTATTAATTTCTTTGTTGCTTAAGTGAAGTGGTGTGTGTATATTGATGTGTATGTCATATTTTCAAGGTCAGAGGGAAGAAACAGTTCTGCTAAAGTTAAGTATAGTTCTTGTATAACAACCCCGTTGGTCGTTTAGGTAAGGAATTAAGTTTATTGAAGGAATACCAGTATGGTCTGCACTGTTCTCTCACTGGAGATTTTCTCTGTACCTGCTAAGATTTAGTACCAATAGATAAGACTTTTTGATTTTTCCTTGACTCTCACTACTGATGCCATACTCATTCCCTAAACCTAATTACCTTTAAATTTACAAGTACCAACACCTTACTTTCCCAGTACTGCTTTTAGGATGGTGACAGGGGAGCCAATCATGACATCAAGCCACTTAAGAATCTGCTGTGCCTTTTTTATGGTTACAGTTTCCTTAATTCTAGTTAAGTGCCGATACTGAATTTTGGGGCTACTTTTATTTGGAAGGAGGATGTGTTTTTAATGGTATATCCTGTACTACGCTTTATGCTGTTGTGTTTTTTTTTTTTCTGATTACAAATGGGGCATTTATAAATGCTTAAGGTTTACAATACAAATCTTTTCTGGGCCACATCTAAATATTTTCTTCACGAGAAAGTCATCTTACAAATATTTAACAAAGACAATGGAAATTATAGCAGGAGTAGATTGTAACTAATTAAATACAGTTGATTTACTTTAGGAAATAATGACCTGGAATACAGGTAATGGAACAGGTTTCTCAAGTCTGGCTTTATAATGAGAACCTACAGAACTTTCTGCTGATTAGACAAAGCGGCCAAACTCCGCGGAGACTTTGACTTAGTAGGCGCGCATGAGTAACAGATTCTATGGTTCAGTAAACTAGACTTTTCTTTAAAGGGAGGAAAAAATCCAACACTGAAGTATCAAAGCATAAGCAATACTTACCAATACCGGAATTTTGAACCTAATGTAAAATAATGTGCAAAAAAATTCTTTTGAGGTGGAAGTGGTCTGTCCAAACGGAAGAATGTGTGATGTTCTACACACGCTTTCCACAAGTTTTTACATGCTCTGTAATTCACCATGTTAAATCCCAATAATGTTTCTCTAGATTCATGCTGTAATAAATGACAAAATGCAGAGAACATCATGAGAATGTCAGGATCTAATGTTCCATTTCATTTATTTTTTACAGGTAAATACTCTACCCTTACAAACACTAACCATTCCTGTGTCTTTTTTGCTTATCCCATAAAAAAGCAGTAAAATTAATGGAAAGGTTTGCAAAATGTGGACCTCATTTGGTAATATTACAACTCATAGGAACTTTTACTTTAGTACACAGTTAGAAACAAATTTAAAACTTGATATATATCTATTTTCAAAACTTAGTAGCTATAATTATTTCAAAATACAATCCTGGCCCACAAATTAAACTTTAAGATACATCAACACACCTTTCAACAATATCTCTAAACTTATAAATCTGTCTAGATTGTAAATAAATAAATAAAAACATTCAGCACTTCTGAACACTATTTTGAAATTCTTATTTTAAAATAAGTAGCAACAGGGACTTCCCTGGTAGTGCAGTGGTTAAGAATCAGCCTGCCAATCAAGGGGACACGGGTTTGAGCCCTGGTCCGGGAAGATCCCACATGCCGTGGAGCAACTAAACTCGTGCACCACTACTGAACCTGCACTCTAGAGCCTGCGAGCCACAACTACTGAGCCCACGTGCCACATCTACTGAAGCCCACGTGCCTAGAGCCCGTGCTCTGCAACAAGAGGCCACCGCAATGAGAAGCCCGTGAACCGCAGCAAAGAGAAGCCCCCGCTTGCTGCAACTAGAGAAAGCCCACACGCAGCAACAAAGACCCAACACAGCCAAAAATTAATTAATTATTAATTAAAAAGTTAAAATAAGTAGCAACAGAAGCATTTCTTTAATTTTTCTTTAAAACTTTGGCACAAATTGCTATTTAAATAGTTTCACTGAACTATCTATAGCAAGGCATACAGGTCATAGGTATACAGCTCTGATTTTCACACAGAGATGCAACCAGGTCCAGAAATGGACCGCTAAACAGCGCCTCCAAGCGTCCTTGTCTTCCCGTCTCTACCACATAACCTCTACACGTGCCCACCTTCTGCCTTTTATGCCCACAGGTTAATACCACATAACCTGTACACGTGTGCCCACCTTCTGCCTTTTATGCCCACAGGTTATCATGCTTGTTTCTCAACTTTACATACATGGGCTCATACATGTATGTCTTTAGGTCTGACTTCTTTTGTTCAATATTATGTTTCTATATTCCTCCATGTAATTGTGAAGCAGTAATTGACTCACGTCATTCTACGCACTATTCTCTCATGTGAACAGACCACAGTTTATTAACCTGTTTACCATTGACAGACATTTAATGTTTCTAGTTTGGTGATGTGATAATGTTGTTCCTGTGTGTATTCCTGTATTTTGTCAGATGCGCGTAGGTGCGAATTTCTGTTGCTGGGCCATAGATGCCATGCGCTCGCCGCTGGTCGGTGCCGCCCAGCCGTTGACGAAATGATCAGCCTGACAGGCACCCCCTCTACCAGCAGCACATGCTCTTCACACTCCCCGGTCACTGGCTCCCCATCTTTTTGCTCCACTATTCTGGTGGTTGCGTGAAATTATCACATTTTGGTTATAATCTGTATTTCTCTGATGCTTAATTGAGGTTCAACAGCTTTTCATGTTACTGGCCATGGGGATATTCTCAGTTCTGGAGTGTCTGTTCAAGTCACTAGCATACTTCCGGATTGGGCTGGATACACAACCAAGGACACAGATGGTGTGTGTGTATCATACACATATTCTGTGCTATTTGACTTTGTTAATCATGTCTTTTGACGAACATAGTTCTTAATTTTAACAAAGTTCTAGTTACTGATCTTCTCCTTTAATGTTAGTTTCCCTTCTATGTCCTATTAAAGCAATCTTTGCCTATCAAAAGGTCATGAAGATACCTTCTGTGACTAAAATACAGTAAAATGCCCATGTATAAATATTAAGCTGTGATGTTAGAAGATGATATGCTTAAAATATCACTTCTTAATCACCAGAGAATTCTTAATTCTGTGTAACAGTTGCTTTGTATGCATTAACACTCCCTCAGAGAATGGTTGTGAGGATTAAATGATATGAAAACGGTTGATACGTTACCAGGCACACAGTAAGACCTTAAGAAATGTTAGATACTATATTATTAGTATTACTAACAACAATAGCACTATAATGGGGAGCAAATTGGAAAAGCCGACTTAAACACCACCTCCTACCAATGTAATTATCAAAGTAAAATGTTCTCTAGTTTCCAGATATGATTTATTATATTTTATTCCTCTAAACATTTATTGAAACATGTACAAGAATGTTCATTAACAGCATTAATCATAATAGTCACAACGAGGAAATGGCAAAACTGTCCACTAACATAGTAAGAATGAATAACTAATGTATGGTATATTCATTCAGTAGAATTCCACAGCAATGGAGCAAACTATCGCCAGGTGTAACAACATGGATGAATCTCACAATGTTAAGGGAAAGAAGGCAGATAAAAACGAAAACATTCTATATGATTTTAGATTTTAAAATTCAAAACTAAGCAAACTAATCCATGATGATACAAATGAGAATAATATTTACCTTTTGGGAGAGTTAATGACTGCTAGTGGGCGTCAACTCCATTAGTAATAATACCAGCTTCCAGGGTGGTAGTAATGTTCTACATAATAACATTGTATATTATATACTTATCAAGCACTATACTTAATTTCTGTTGGTTTTATTTCAATAAAAACTCTCTTGAAATAAAACTTCTATGTTGAGTATAAATGATGAATCATAGTCAGTAGATCAATATCCTCTATAAAATACATTTGATTCAAATATATTTTAAGGCTTTGAATACATTTTATTTTATTATTTATTTATTATGTATTTTTGATGTGGACCATTTCTTTTAAGTCTTTATTGAACTTGTTTTAATATTGCTTCTACTTTACGTTTTGGTTTTTTAGCCTCGAGGCATGTGGGATCTTAGCTCCCCGACCAGGGATCGACCCCGCATTCCCTGCACTGGAAGGTGAAGTCTTAACCACTGGACCGCCAGGGAAGTCCCTAAATACATTTTATACACATATACACATATAAACATCCTGAAAAGTGCATTAATTTGTCAAGACTTCTAGTAATGTCAGTCAAAGGATAAGGTTAATTTAATTTGATGGAATAGATAAAATCATTTATAAGATGAAATTCTTTCCAACACTGTACTTTCTGTGATAATGTGCTGTATTTAATACACAAAAAGGACATCACCAGTCCAACAAAGGGAGGAAATGTACTACACGTTCATGAACTAGGAACAAAACTAAACACTCAGAATCCCCCAAATGAAATGTACTCCTATGTGAAAGGAAGTGCTGTAGATTTAGTTTAAAAAAAAAAAAAAGAAAGAAAGAAAAAGGACATATAAATGCTCAGTTACTGACCTCATGAATGGACCCTGGGGACAACAATGAACATCACAATTGAGACCAGTTTCTAAGTTCAAGAGATAGCAGAACAGATATCTAGAATAACTTCTGATCAGAACTACAGAAACACTAGGGATATACTTTGTCATAAAATGTGAATTACTTAACTGAGTAGGCAGTTATTAACAGTATTAATAACACGTTTACTTGCACTAAAAGTTCTGTAATGAATGACGACTTATTTCTTAAAGGACTTAAGTTATGTTAATAAGATCAACTCACCAATTCTTTTCTCAGTTGAATAAAAAACTGTTTGCACTTAAAAGAAATTTTTACAATCTTCAACCTGGATAAAAAGAGAATGAATTGGAGTATTTAAAATATTGAACAAAGATAAAAATATTAATCAAAAAAATTAAAAAAATAATCTTTTAACTGTATGTTTAGTAATGTCTAAATATTTAATTATATATACATATATAAAGTACATAAAGAATCTAAAGTTTTTGGTGATTCGTGCAAAAATAATTAGAATTTATATGCTCAACTGAGCTTAGTTTTATCAGAACATTTGCTGTAAACTATACATTTCCCAATTCTGTATCTAAAGAAATACATAAAAACACATATCACAAGTTAAAATTTTAAGAATACCAATAATATAGTTATTTACTCTTTAAAACTGCAAGTAGTTTTCTGCACATTAAGAGCTTGGAAATCACCACTCCATCCTGGCAACAAGTAAAAAGCTCAACAGATTGAAAAATCCACAACTCTTCTTAAATACACAAGGAAGGGAAGAGCACAGGGCAAACTGCTACCCCCCAGATTTGAGAGACCAACAGCTGAGTACAGGGAATCAGAGCCTCCCAGAGAAGATTCAGGAGCAGAAACTGCCAGAGGAAGCAGTGCCAGGGTAGGAAAATCTGAACTGTATTTTATGAGTTGTGGAAGGCTCAGCGTGGTCAACCCTGAGAGTTAAAAACCCCAAGAGGCCCCAGTCATAGGGCGGAGCTCACGTTATTGTGAGATTTAGCTCTAGAAGCTCAAACAGATTCCGACAATAAATACCAAAGAAAAGTACCCTCAGATTTCCGACAGGGAAAGGGAAACAAACCATGCTGAACCAGGCCAGAGCACTCTGCTCTTAACAAGGCCTATCTTTAGGGGAATCTTGTTAACCAGAGCCTGACCTGGGGAAGGAAAATACCCAACTCCAGCCCAATCTAGCCATCCTGTCCCACCCAAGGGGAGAGGAAAAAAAAAAGAGAAACACTGTGAAGCTCACAATCTAGAGGCCTGGGCTCATTAAAACACTGAGAGCTAATCGCAGGACTACAGGAAACCCCCCTCCGTCGACACCTCACCACCACATTACTAAGAGCCTATTCACAGCGTTCCTGTTACCAGGGTATCCTATCTGCCCATCAAGAAAAGATTACAAGGCATACCAAAAGGCAAAAAACACAATGTAAAGACAGAGTAAGCATCAGAACCAGATATGAGAGGAATGTGGGACTTATCAGACTGGGAGTTTAAAACAACTACGATTAACAGGCTAAGAGCTCCAAAGGATAAAGTAGAAAGCAAGAACAAAGAACAGATGGGCAACGTAAACACAGAAATGAAAATCATAAAAAAGGACCCCAAAATACAAAATTAATATGCAGAAACCTGTTCCACTTCTATACACTAACAACAAACTATCAGAAAGAGAAATTAAGGAAACAATCCCATTGACTATCACATTAAAAAGAATAAAATACCTGGGAATAAACCTACCTAAGGATGTAAAACCTGGAAAACTATAAGACACTGATGAAAGAAACTGAAGAGGACACAAACAGATGCAAAGATACACTGTATTCTCGGATTGGAAGAATTAATATTGTTAAAATGACCATACTACCCAAGGCAATCTATATATTCAATGCAATCCCTATCAAAATACCAATGGCATTTTTCACAAAACTAGAACAAATAATTTCAAAATTTGCATGGAACAGATACATGTATATGTATAACTAAATCACTTTTCTGTATACCTGAAACTATCACAACATTGCTAATCACCTATACTCCAAAATAAAATGAAAAGTTAAAAAAAAAAATTTGTTTGGAAACACAGAAGATCCCGAATAATCAAACAATCTTGAGAAATAACAGAGCTGGAGGAATCATGCTTCCTGACATCAAACTATAGTACAAAGCTACAGTAACCAAAACAGTCTGGTACTGGCATAGAAACAGACACATAAATCAGTGGAAGAGAATAGAGAGCCCAGAAATAAACCTATGCTCACATGGTCAATTAATCTATGACAAGAAGACAAGAATATACAATGGAGAAAAGACAGTCTCTTCAATAAATGGTGTTGGGAAAACTGGATGCTACATGCAGAAAAATGAAAACTGGACAACTTTCTCACACCATATACAAAATAAATTCAAAATGGATTAAAGACTTAAATGTAATACCTGAAATCATAAAACTCCAAGAAGAAAACACAGACAGTAACCTCTTTTACATTAGTCTTAGCAATATTTTTTGGATCTGTCTCCTCAGGTAAGGGCAGCAAAAGCAAAAATAAACAATGGGACTACAACAAATTAAAAGATTCTGCACAGTGAAGCAAACCAACAAAACAAAAAGGTAGCCTACCAAATGAGAGAAGATACTTGCAAATGATACATCCAATAAGGGGTTGATATCCAAGTATATAAAGAACTTTTTTTTATACAACTCAGTATCAAAAAAAAAAACTGATTAAAAAATGGGCAGAAGACCTGAATAGACATTTTTTACAAAGACATACACATGGCCAACAGGGACATTAAAAGGTGTTCAACATCATTAATTATCAGAGAAATGCAAATCAAAACTACAATGAGATACCACCTCACACCTGTCAGAATGGCTATTATCAAAAAGACAAGAAACAACAACTGTTGACAAGGATGTGGAGAAAAGGGAATCTTTGTGCACTGTTGGTGGGAATGTAAATATGTGCAGCCACCACGGAAGACAGTATGGAGGGTCCTCAAAAATCTAAAAATAGAACTACCATACGACCCAGCAGTTCCACCTCTGGGTATGTATCCAAAGAAAATGAAATCACTAAATCAAAAAGATTTATGCACCCCTGTGTTCATTGCAGCACTATTTATAACAGCCAAGATATGGAAACAACCTAAGTGTCCATCGATAATGAATGGATAAAGAAGATGTGATGTGTTTGTATATGTGTGTGTGTGTGTGAATATTACTCAGCCATAAAAACTAATAAAATCTTGCCAACTATGGCAACATGGATGGACCTAGAGGGTATTATGAAAGTGAAATAACTAGAAAGAGAAAAACAAATACCTTATGATTTCATTTATACGCAGAATCTAAAAAATAAAACAAAAAGAGACTCAGATACAGAGAACAAATGAGTGGTTGCCAGAGGGGAGAAAAGGGTGCAGGTAAAGACAAAAATGTGAAATGGATTAAGAATACAAACTTCCAGTTATAAAAGTCATGGGGATGTAATGTATATAGAGGGAATATAGTCAATAATACTATAATAATTTTATATGGTGACGGATGATAACTGGACTTACTGTGTTGACTGTTTCATAAGGTATAGAAATATTTAATCACTACACTGTACACCTGAAACTAATATAATGTTATATTAATTATAACTCAATAAAAAATTTATTGAAACTTGTTTTATGGCTCAACATATTTTCTCTTCTAGTAAACAAACCATGTACCCTTGAAAGGAATGTGTATTTTGCTGTTACTAGGCATAGTATTGAAACAGGAGGCAAGGGGAGCAGGGCACAACCTTTGAAAGAATGACATAGCCATAGGATATGACAGAAACTGGTAAGAACCAACTAGATCCAAGATGGCGGAAGATTCGACTTCCAGTAGACCTTGAGCCTCATTATATGCTCATTGTAATGCATTAGCTAAATGACACTCCCACAGGCGCCATGACAGTTCTGAGGCCAATCATAAAAAGCCAAAAGTGGGTGGTGGCCCAATTCCTGGAAATCTCTGCCCCTTCCCCCGAAATAACTGGAATAATCCCCACTCATTAGCCTATGAAATTACGCAGCCCATAAAAACTAACCACACCATGTTTTGGGGCCTCTTGCCTTCTGAGATGGCCCACCCTCTGCTGGTGGAGTGTGTTTCTCTCTAAATAAATCCACTTCTTACCTATCACTTTGTCTCTCACTGAATTCCTTCTGTGATTAGACATAAAGAACCTGAGCTTCATTAAGTCCTGAGACCAGGTGTGTGATCTCAATTAAAAGACCGTGGGTTCTGGCTGGGCTTGAGTCCCCCGCCCACGGGTTCAAGTGCAATCTGAGTCGCACAGTTTCAGTATTGTATATCAATTAAGCCAAGAGATTTGATAGTGCTTGAAACTATTTCAACTGATTTTTTATTGTCTAGTTTTTGTACTGAGTTCTGAGAGGGATATGCTCAAATCTCCAACTACGATTGTAGAATTGTCTATTTTTCCTTATTTTTTGCTTCATGTATTTTGAAACTGTTATTATGCACATGTATACTTATAACTGTTGCTTGTCTTTTATCAGGTGTATGGGTCATACTTTCCTTTATCTTTGTGTGTTTTGTAATATTTTGCTGGCAACCAGATGTTTTACATATTGCATCGTAGTGAGTGTAAGTACTTGTTTCCCATCTTCCCAGCTTCCTGTTATTTGGTAGTTTACTTGCATGGACTCTATCTTCACCCTCAACCTCCAGTTTAGGCTTCTGCTGTTGCTCTTCAGGAAAGCACAGCTCTGGGTGTGCCCACAGGAATACTGAGATGACCAGGGGTACTAGTCATCCCATTCTCTCAAAAACCACACCCAGCTGAGAACTCTTCTAATTGCCAACACACTGCTCTATTATTTTCAGCAGCGCCCTGGGCCATGAATTGCTTCAGGAACGAATTCAATCAAATTGTGACTGTTCCAAAGGAACAGTCTCTGAGGCAGGCACTTGAGGCTATTTGCTCTACTATCCTGGTTTCTGTCTCTTCTGTTGTCTTTGGGTTTCCCAAGGCAGTCCTTCTTAATTAGCCTGAGCTTTGCAGTGACTTAAGTTGTGACGCTTTGTTATTATACAGGAGCCCTGGTGATGTGTCAGTTAAGTCTGGGGCTGGGGAGGAACCCGTCTTTAATCCTGTGATTAGGTCTCGGGTTTAGTGGTCTGGGCCCCTTGGCTGCACCCTTCAGTGCCCGTCAGCTCACCCCTCCCTAGCTGAAACAGGAAGTACAGAGAGGGCTGGAAATGGGTACTTCCCTTCCCCCACATTGGTTAGGCTCTGGTAAAACCCATGTTGGTTAAGTATTGGTAAAATAGATTTCCTTGAGGGCAGATCTTTGTTAAGGAGAGCAGAAAGCTCTGAGCATATTTCAAAACGGTTACTTTCCTGCTCAACTTCCATCCCCTGCCCTTCGAACACAAGCGGATTTTTCTCCAATCTTTGCCCTGAGATCCTGGTGGGGTGCCTGGTAGTAAAACTCATGAGAATGAGGGGTCCTTCCTAAGTAACTTAGTCCAAGCTAGTCTCTGCTCCGTCTCCAGCAATCTGTCAATCACCCTGTATGTACTCCTACCAGGGGTGGCTGCAGCGGTGGTTTCTAGTCCTGGTAAGTTGTCATGCCTTGTATTCACCTGTCTCTCCAGTTTTCAGAGCTGCAGTAAGTACGCCCTGTGTCCTCAATTCTCTGAGGGATCTAAAAAGAGTTGTTGATTTTGAGTTTTTTCAGTTTTTTTTTTTTTCTTGTGAGGACAGGGTCTCCAAAGTCTTTACCTGCTGCACTGGGAACCAGAACTCTCTCCTTCCCTTTTCATTTTACTAATGATGTTTTTTGATGAGCATTAATTTTAATGAAGCCTAATTATAGAATCCAAGTAACTCCCAATTCAGTATTCAACATTTTGAAAGTATGAACTTGAACTGGATAATTTAGGGATAACCATATGTGGAAAGAAATGAGGGAATCTATTACATGGAACATTACTTTTTCTACACTTAGCTCTAATTTTGAGAGAAGAGGTAAGTGAGAAGCTAGTGTTTCAGAAACTGAAAGACCCAGGTTTATTTAAAGCTCTGCTTCATACTCATCATACTTGTTAACACTGGCCCAGTCAGCTTCTCTGGCATTTCTCACTCCTTATCCATAAAAACAATGCTAAGAACACCCAAGTTGCAGGGTTATAAGGTACAGATAAAATGCATTAAAATCCACGAGTGATTTTTTTCCTACCTTATTAAACTTATAAAACTATCAGCTCTAAAACTTCCACCTTTACTCAAAACTCTTTATTCATGTAGAAATTTGGTAATTCTGAGCTGTAATCATATTCCATTTTTATCAAGTGATTTTTATGATTTCCTCAAAGAGACTTCCACAATACTTTGCTAAATTATCAATTTAAGGGCAAAGGCAATTCTACGAACACTAATTTGAATAAAGATGATGAGGCTGAAATGGTCCCTTATTCACATGTAGTATTAATAAGAAGTATGTTGCTTTTGTGAAAATAGATCCATACTTTAAGAACTAAAAGTAAACCATGTACTTGATGATTTTCACAGAACTTAATGATTGATTTTCTTTGGAAATCAATTGATATTGGATCTTAAATCATGGCAATTTGTGGTATATGTATAAATGTACTCCTAATGTTGTAGTATGTACTGCTATGAGTAGTTAGGATCAGAAGAAATCCTTATGTTCCAGGATGATGTAGGTCTAGTAGCTTTAACAACTTTAAATCCCATCTATTTAGTTTAATTCTGGAAAATAAAAATTTAAAGGAATACTATATAGTATTTTCCAATCAATATCTTAAATGCTCACATTCTTCTCTCTCTTTTTTTTTTTTTCCGCGGTACGCGGGCCTCTCACTCTTGTGCCCTCTCCCGTTGCGGAGCACAGGCTCCGGACGCGCAGGCTCAGCGGCCATGGCTCACGGGCCCAGCCGCTCCACGGCATGTGGGATCTTCCCAGACCGGGGCATGAACCCGTGTCCCCTGCATCGGCAGGTGGACTCTCAACCACTGCGCCACCAGGGAAGCCCCTCACATTCTTCTTTTTAACCTAACTTGTGTGATAAAGACTTATAAACATGAGTTCTATTTCTCAACATGAAACTACCTTCAAGAATATTTAATAATAATATACCAACTCCTCAGCATATGGAATACATAAGATCCTTCACAATCTGAATCTAATTTCTCTCCTAAGCAACATTATTATATCTTAAATTCTTGTGCCCTTGCTTCTGTCCTCAGTGAAGACAACTGAAAAAAAAAAATCAAACCAAATATCCCATCATCTCCTCAACTTGCCCCGTCCTTTCTTACTATTAGGCTCCTGCAAATGTTTGGTACCTTTACCCTGAATTCCCTGACTGAACCCTCTATACACACATACCTCTTCCATACTTCCTCCTCACTGAAGAAATTTCTATTCATCCTTTAAAAACCATCTCAAGTACCACAGGGCCATTACAATTTTCCCTAGTGAAATTATATCCTTGGTGTTTCCAAAGTAATTTGTCAAAAACTCTTCTAGAATCCTTATTGTATAATTTTGAAAATACAGAAAAATTTAGATTATCATTTTAACCACATCACCTGAAAAGAATTTATTTCTGATTTTGACATTCATAGAAAATGTAAAATTAATAAAAAGTATTTTTAACTGTCTTTAGTAAAATCAGAAAAGTATTAAAATTGAAGATGCACATTTACCATTATGAAAGTCAACAACTGTAACTATTTCTTCTGAAGCATTTAAGTTACAAATTGTCTTATTATGTTTTGTAATTAATTTTTATGTGCCCACTTTTAGGCAAGGACTATGTCTTGAACTGTTTTGTATTCTCCTCTGAACATAACACAATTTGAATTATATAGGAAGAACTTAAAAGATGTGAGATGAAACACTAAATGACCTTTGATTTTCTTTTATGAGCTTTATAGAGGTATAATTTATATATAAAATGAAATATCCCAATTTTAGGCAAACAAATCAATGAGTTTTGACAAATGTATTCAGCTGTGTAACTACCACCCACCCAAACCACCATGTAACAATTTCCATCACCTGAAAATGTTCCAATGGCAACCAAAGGTCTGCTGTCTCTATACTGTGTGTTCTCAGGAATTTCACATAAGTAGAAACAAAGAGTACGTCATCTTTTGTGTCAGGCTTCTTACACTTAGCATAATGTCTTGAGGGGAGGGTCACCCATATTGTTTAGTGTGTAAAACAGTTCATTTCTTTCACTGCTAAACAGTATTCCACTGCAAGTGTAATCTGCTTGTCCTTTCACCAACTGATGGACATCTGGAATTCTGTTTTGTGCTGTTATGAATAATACAGCTATGAACACAGTGTGCAAATCTTTACACGAACTTGTATTTTCAGTTCTCTTGGGTAAATATCTAGGAATAGAATTGCCAGATTATATGGTAAATCTATGTTTAACCTTGAAGAAATACCAAACTGTTTTCCAAAGTTGGTCTACTAGTTTGCATTCCCACCAGCAATATATGAGATTTCTAGGTGCTTTGCTTCCTTGCCATTACTTGGTATTGTCATTCTTTTTAATTGGAACTATTGTAGTGGGTGAACAGTAATAGTTCACTGCAGTTTTAATCTGCGTTTCACTAGTGACTGAGCATCTTTTTGTGTACTTATTTGCCATCTGTATATCTCCTTTGGGGGAAGTATCTATTCACATATTTTGCCTATTCTTTTTAATCAAGTTGTCTTACTACTGAGCTATAAGAGTCCATTACATTTTTTTGATAAGTCCTTTATCAAATATGTATTTTATAAAAGCCTGTTTTTTGCCTTTTCATTTTCTTTACAGTGTCTTCTGGAGAGCAAAAATATCTAATTTTGATGAAGTTCATTTCATCAATTTTATATTTTGTATTTCCTGTTTTCCTAGATAGTGACCTATTGGGGAAATTTATGTTTATTTTCTCAATGTAATTGTGGCAATTTTCTAAAATAATAGCTTCTGTCAGTTATCATATTTCTATTAGTGTTATATAAGTGACTAATTACAAAAACCTATTAAATAATAATCATAGATATTGAAAAATCTGGACCAATTCTTTTAGGAGATATAAAGAGAAACAGATTGATACAATATATTTCTTTTGTATTTGCTTCTTCCCCTAGAGAAAATCATTGTGTTTATTTTTAAAATCCCAAGTTACTTATATGATATTCACACAAGGGATATGTGATCAATATGATTTTTACAATTTTCAAGTTATCCCCTTAAAGGGAAATGGCAGATGCTACCTCTCCTTCTTCCTCACTTTGGGATACAGGAGTGATGGTGAGTGAGGCACTGGGCGACGAGGATAAGCACAGCATGCTAAGGACAGCAGAGCAATAACACAAAAGAAACATGAGTTTTAAACCCCATGGAGCCACCATACTTTCCCAGTACCAATTTAAACCACTGTAATAAGGGGCTTTTGTTGCAGCAGCCATGCCCATGTTCCAACTAATAAACTAGCACCCACTGAATGCATTTAAGTGAAATACTGTATTCAAAACAACTGGCACAGCGTGAGACGCAGAGTAAATATGACAATATTAGCTATTACACTACAGTACAGATTTAGAGACTAAGAGAAAAATTCTCAAAGTAGTATTTTCTTTAAACTAAGACACTTCTGAAACAAATAATTCAATTATTTTAATAGGTATATTCTGGTAGATTCCAAGTAAGTGGAACAAAGTTGTATGACAACATTAAATAGCTCAACAACCACTTTCTTTAATATGAATTGTATTTAGTAATATAATGGTAAAAGCAAAAGTATTGATGGAAGTTCTTACCACGGAAAGGTATTCATGCGTACTCTGTTCTTATAAATCACAATTCCTCCTGACATCACTCCAATCATAATTTCATTGTTACTTTGATCCTTCAGAAAACAACAAAAAAAAGAAGATGGCAAATCTAAAATAAACTGTTAAAGATATATTTTAAAAATATGATTAGTTTTTTTTTTACACAGTGTGACATTTCATCAAAGGCAACAGTTAACTGAATATTTACAAATCCATATGGTAACTGTTACATCATAAAAATAAAGGACATACTTCAAATCAAACTTAAATGTTGCATTATTAAAATTTATTAATCTAAAGCAAAAATGATTTCAGGATTTCCCACAGTTTATAAATGGGACTGACTCTTTGATATAGAAAATCAAAGACCTTCTCATCTTATAGAATGACAAGTTAGTACCCATCTTTCCATTTCTAAAACTATTAAGGTCCAATTACTGTGTAAATATGGTGGTAGGATTGCAAAAGTGAATAAAACCTGGAGTTCAGAGTTTGGTGAAGGGCAACCTGTAATAAAATAATATTTCCGATATAATGAGAAGTTCTGTAACAGACATAATACAACAAAAACATTATGGGAGTATAGAGTGGGGACAATTGCTGGAGAGTTTGGAAGGCTCCTGAGAAGGAAATTTGAATTGCGCTTTGATGGGTGAGTTCTCATGCTGACTGATCGAACGTGAACAGCTGACCTGCACTATTAAGAGAATGAGTGGAATTAAAACTTTTCTCAGCTGCTAATCAGTCTTGAAATAGCTCTGCTTCTTGACTTGAAACATACTCCAGGCAAACTAATATAGCAATAATGCTTTTATCCCTAGCATTTATGTGATCAGAAGATAGAACTAATTAATGAAAATATAATCAAGATTTTGTAATTGTCTCCCTAGGAAAAAACCTTTAAAATGTAGTTTCAATAATTTCTAATTAAATGAAATATTACTAAATTAGCCTGTTAGGTAAACTAACGTGTAGTAAGTGGCCAAACACAGCAGTGTATGTTAATTTGTCTGGCTGCTCCTTTTCTTTTGCAATAACCAGCACCACTGCACACTATTATCAGAGTCTTAAATCACTGTTTAAAGGACGTCAATCAGAATTGTGAAGCAAGATGGCAGGCCCAGCCTCACAGACGGTGACTTAATATACGCTCTGCTTATTCCTTCTGCTCCCAATCTCATAAAACATCAGAGAAGATATATGAAAACAGAAAAAATCCCTAACACTTGAAAACAATCCATAACACTGAAAGGTATGTAATCAGTGGGCCAGACATTTTGAGGAGTCTGTGAAGACAAAGTGGATAAGATCAGATTTATGGAGAGAAAATAATTCCAGAAAACCGCAGCCCAAGGGGAAGCCTCAAATTGCCGTCAGGATGATCAGGTAGGAGCAGGAAGATAATTAGCTCCTATCAACCCTACAATCTAGACTGAGCTACAGGACACAGAAGTGTGTGCAGCCTGTCTACAAGTGTGGAGCAAGTGTGGAGACTGGGGACAGGAATAGAGTGATCCCCAGAAGTCATGGAGAACCCCAAACTGAAAAAGCAAACTATAGGCACATTCTACCTGGCAGTTCCTTCCTTCCCTCCTCCAGCACCTAAAACAGGCCGCAGTAAGGACAAACACCATGCGTGGCCAAGTGAAGTAGGAATCACAAATACGAAAGGAGTACACAACCAAGGGCCACCAATCACTTGAGAAGAATGAATGCCATTAAAGAGAGATGCAAAACTCAATAAATACGTAAAGCAGTCAGGCTGCTATGCTGGTAGAAAAACGTTAAAAAACACTGCAGGGATATCTAGGAATTCAAATTCTCAAATTATAGCTATCTATATAGCTATCAAATTCTCAAATCATAGTTATCTAGACTGAAGTGTCAGTTCCCAAGGTACTGCCAGAGTTGGGCAAGAGAACGCAAGAAAATAAGTATTACGTCCCTTATGGATACAAATGCTATTAATTCCAGTGTACAGAAAAACGAACGGTGACCACCTTATTTTATGCTTTTCTTATCACTTATTACTATCTAATATAATGCTATACATTGACTTGTTTAATCTGTTTATTTTTTCTCTTCTTCACTAGAACCTGAGTAGCAAAGTGCAGGGCCTTTGTTTTGCGCCCTTTCAGGTTTTTAGATGTAGAAAGACCTACCCATTTGTGAAATGAATGGACCTCTATTATCTGTAGGAAAATATCTCCGCTGTTTAGCTTGGCACTGAGACGACCACCCTATCCCATTTCATCTCCCCCTTTATAATTAGTAAAAACCTGCTTCCCATCAGGCCATTCCACATGTTTTGTGTACCCATAATTACATGTTTTAATTAATGCTGTTCTCATCTCTTCATGTCTCTCTGATGAATCAAATCAAACCTAACCAAAGTCTAGATCAAGTCCACCTTCTCTGTGAAAACTTCATTAGCCCAGTAGAATGTACTGAATTGTACCATGAATATGTAATCAGCAAAGTCCAGACTGTGTGAAACTACAGGTGAAATGGTGCAGTTCTTTAACAAGAAAATTCTAAGGAATGGTAAGGGAAGAAGGGATTAAAAGACATTTAAAGTTATTCAGTTAAAACAAACAAAAAGCAAGACCAAATTTTAGTACCCAGGAAGGCACACTGTGTGATAAAACCACAGAAGAACAATGTAGGAAGGGGCTATGACTGGGACAGTGTATAAAAAGCATTTCTTTATACACAGGCTAAAGCCTGCTGCTGACCTGCATGGTATTTACAAAGATGTTCACTAAGATATACACACGGGTGTATGTGCTTTATTTTACAACATGTTAAAAAGCAGCAATGTAAACAGGATGAGATTTCAGAGGACTGTGAACAGATATTCTAATATTCTCTACCCATGCCTCAACTGTCCATTCACACTACCCTGCAGTGTGCCCTCCCCTCCTTTCTGGTGGAGACCACAGTTCTACTCTCCACTAAGTCGCTGGGACCACTTAACCATTCTAGTCCCTCTGCAGTCACATGGTAAGAATACAATAATAACACAAAGCCACTAAAATTTTCCATTTAGTATCTTCAGACCACAGTTGAGCTCAGGTAACAAACTGCAGAAACAGAAACCATGGATAAGGGGGAACCACTGTATATTCTTCTAGATCTTTGTTTATATATACAAAATATAAATATGTAGTATTTATAACCACACAATTTCTTTAATCAACAAAAACTGGGAAATATTATTGCATAATTTTTCTTTTGCACTTAGCATTTTGTAGATATCTTTTCATATCAATATATATACCTCTAACTCATCAGTTTTAACTGCTGCATATTATTCCAAAATATGGATTTATCACAATTTCTTAACCATTTCTGTTGACTCATTTAGAGATTTCTAAATTTTTAATATTACAAACATGCTGTAATAAAAATCCTTGAACACATTATTTAAAACACCTCTATAAAAAGGGTGGAGTCTGAGAAATGGAAGTGGTCAAATATTATATTCATATCAGTATTTGCACTCCAAGTTATACCTCAACATGCTCATCTCTGTTTTTCCTGTATTGCTACTTATATGTTTTAAAAAATTACTGTATTGTGGAAACTCTTTATAAAATATGAACACTAAAAAACTTTCTGTAATATATGTTGAAATTGTTTTCACTTTTACCTTTTAGCTTTGTGATTTTCCCCTATATATATCATTAGTTTAAAATTATTATGTTTGTATATTTTTCATGTAGTTAGGTATAAAGTTAGCCATAATACACACTCATTAATAATTTAAAAAATATTTCTGTGTGCCCTATATAGGTCTAACAGTGTTATGTGCTCTCAAATTATTCAATGAAAGTGAATACAAGTAATGACCTACTGATACTTTCATAAAGATACAGAAGAATCAAAAAGGGGAAAGAAAAAAAAAAGCTGTGTCTAGACAGGTCCTGATGAGTAAAAAGCACATAGCAGAATATGGAAAATCACTGTGTGATCTGAATATTTTAGGGTGACACAGATGAAATCATATATATAGCTCTATTGTACAGAAGAGATTCTTTTCTCTGTTTCAAGGGATTATATTTTTATATTATTTGATTATTCGAACAAATATGTCCAAAAGTCCTCAAATATATGCAGGTTAAAAACAAGGTTTTTGAAGAACCTTAAAACAGAAACAGATATCATATGACTAAATTAGTTAACTTCTCTGTGTCCCATTTTCCTCATCTGGAGAGTAAGGATGATAATACTCTTACTTCACAGGGCTGTTTTAAGGATTAAATGAGATTAATATACATAAGCCCTAAGAAGGTTGTCAGGCACATAGTAAATGCTATAAAGGTGTTTCCTGTGATTATTATCTGTAACCTGTACAGTAAAATCTCTCAAAATTACTGTTCTCACAGTCTTTCTTGAATATTCTCTAATCAATCAGCCTTTGGCCATCACTATAGCTCCAAAATTGTACAAAGTCAATACTGGTAATATTACAATAATTTCCACATTTCTAATCCAATTCTCATCTGACATAGTTGACCACGCCTGATTCACCTGGCTTCAAAGACACACAAGTGTCTGACAGAAAGAAAGGCATTCTTTTTGAAAGGCGTTCTTTCTATCTAAATGGCTATTTCTTCCTCATCTAACCTTTAAAATTTGAAGTGTTCCAGCTCTGAGGACCTCTAATCTTCAATTGCTACTAGCTATGTTCCTTCAGTGCTCCCGTGTCACGGCTTTAAATATTATCTGTAAGCTGACAATTCCCAAATGTATGGCTCTAGTCCAGACCTCGCCTCTGAACTCCAGTTCCATATACTGAATTGCCTGCCTTCCTTCATTTCGATTGATAAAAGTCTTCTAAAATTGCATGTCCCAAGGCTAGCTCCTCACCCACCCTCTCAAATCTGTTTCTCTCTGATTGTTACAAATTACTGAAGTTACTCCATCCTTGTAGTTGTTCAGGCCAAAAAGTTAGAAGCATTCCTTGAATCCTTTTTCTCTCACACCCTAGAGCCAATACATCAGTCAGTGCTGTCACTTCCATATTCAAAATACATGTGGATTGGGTAACTTCCCTGGCGGTCCAGTGGTT